AATTTGTTTTGGGTTGTTTTTTTACTGCATTTTATGTATTATGGTGTTAAATAGGCAGATGCCATCCGCAAAATCTAAATCTCCCAAATATGCGCTATTTGTATATCCAATGCCTGTTTCAGTGTCTTTGTAAATATAAGTCAACATTCTTTCTTTTCTTTTTTTTTAATACATATCTCGCAAATGTAGATTTACTAGATATGAAAAGAGACTAGAATGTTTTTAAAGTGGGAAAAGGTTTGCCTGTGTGTATGTTTGTGCGCGTAAGGGTGATTATGCGGGTGTTTGTGTGCGAATACGCCCGTGTGGATTTGTTAGTGAAGAAGGAAGGGTGAAATATTGGGTAGGTGAACATGTTTGAGCAACAGAAAAAAATGCAAGAAATCTAGAGTAGTCGCATGTCTTTTAAGTTAGAGCAAATCAAAAAAACTTCTGTACAAGAAAATGTGTGATTCAGTGGAACTCTTGTCATATGCACAAAAAAAGAAGCGGAAAAGAACAATTGTAGATTTTTTCGTCAAAAAAAAAGAAACAAAATGCTTTAGAACTTATTTCGTAACGGGATGCTGATGTAAAAATCATTTAAACTGGCGCTTTATCCTCGTCTTAAAGTTATCTCATATAATTAATGAAAAAGTATGGGTGTACACACTTACACGAGTATGTTGAGAAGAGAAATATTTATTTTTTTATGTTCTCACACCTATAGTTCACTAATTTCAGTCACTGTCATGTGAGCGTATAATTTTCTAAGGCTCGCACATATATACATATATAATAACAATATATATATGATATATATATGTATATATATTATATATATATATATATTATATATATATATATATATATATATATATATATATATATAATACGTGTATATATTATAATTATATATATATATATACATATATATAAAGAGAGAGAGGGAGAGAAAAAAAGAGAGAGAGAGAGAAAGAGAGAGAGAAAGAGAGAGGGAGAGAAAGAAAGGGAGAGAGAGAGAGAGAAAGAGAGAGAAAGAGAGTTAATTACAGATGGGCCGTATGCGTGTAGCTTTTGTCTTTGAGCATTCACCCAACATGTTGAATTGTCACTCGTTTGAAATATTGAATAGCAAGACTAGTCAGATCTTACGGAACCAAAAATGTATACTTCTAATATTTCTAATAATAAATTTCACAGCGTATCAGAATTTAGAATGCTTTTGATTGTTGTGAAGCATGGCTTTACCTTTGAGTGTGCTTCACTCATGCAAAAAACGTACATAAACGAAGAAATTATACATCTTCCTTGTGTGAAAGCATGTCTGAATACACTTGTTCAACGCATTTGAAAGAAACCACTTCAGTCACATTTCTCTTTTCTTCAGTCATTCTATAAGTTCTTGAGAAGTTTCAGAACCAGAGGTCAAGATCAGGTCAACACCCTCCTCTCTCAGAAGTGGACACGTTACTATCAAATTACCTGAATTTTGAATTTCCCTCTCCAGAGAGTTGAGAAATCGGGCGCTTTTTTCTGGCTATTAATTTATCGTTATTACTTCTTCCACTTGGACCACCAAAAGAAATAGCATTTAAAATGTAACTGTCGTTTCTTTTACAGAACTCAGTAAGAAAACGTTGTATTTCTGCAAGAAAGCCGCTAAATCCGTCCCATTGAAAAAGGATGAGTTTGCTCAAGAAAATTCTTCTCACACTCTTTTTTTTCTTCTTCAGAGTCAAACGACAGGGTCAGGTCTAGATCTAGAACTAAGTTATATGTGTAATATACAAAGACAAATATACTCAATGACATTTTCTTTTGGAGTGCAACAAAGCTCGACTCTGACGTGTTTTTTTTTTTTTGGTGAGTTGGTTTGCCGTTTTAGTTTTTATTTTGTTTTGTTTTGTGTACATAAATCTTTGTGTGAGGAAGGCTGAGGTTGGCTGTGGCTGGGGAGATGGGTGGCTGGAGGAGGAGGGTGAAGGAAAACAGACCTCAAGAGTGCTGTATTGTTGATAAACGTCTAGAGAGCGCAGTCCTCTGTGATCTCTCCGTCCCCTGGCCTGTTGCATCAGCCCGCGGCGTCTTTGCCATGATTTCAGCTCTCAGGGCAAGTGAGAAATTGTTCTGTAAAACGTAATATGAAGAGCAAAGGCGGCATTATGCAATGGAATATGGCGCCAAATTTTAACTTAATGGTCTGATTAAGTGAGCGGTCTGCTCTTGTTGCTGGTATCGTCTCAATCTTCTCCATTCAAACGATTTTACGGACTTTGTTTTTGATTCTTGCTGCGCTTGGATGATGAATAGGACAAAGGCATGAAATCAAGCCCTTGAAAGAAAATCTGAAACGTTCAGTGTTTCCTCGACCAATCTCTGTTGTGAAATGGAAAGCACGATGAGAAAGTGTGGGTGAAACGCTTGAGAAAAAAAGAGTTTAAATGTCAATCACAAATTCGAAATTAGTTTTGGCCCTCAGGCTTTGTTCGAAGAATAATCAGCGAAACATTTTACACCATGGTGCTTCACACTGCAAAATTAGCTAAAAAATGTGTTACAACTCCACACTACATCTTCGTAACAGAGGTGATTAATCGCACTTGAGCCATTGTGTGAGTGTTGTAGAATCAGTTGCACGTAATTTTGATCACCCTCATGGGGTTTACAGCATGTTGTAGTAGGTCTCTGAACTTCCTCTGTGCCATGCACCGATATAATATCTGTGCCTTTCTTTACGCTTTTTGACAACGATTTATTAACGCCTAGTGTGCAACGCATCTCAGTTCAGTTGGTTCATAGCATTGCTTGGTTAATGTTTATAGTCGTAACAAAAAAGCTACAAACTCCCCCGATCCCTGTTGTCTAGAATGAAACTCTACTTTAATTGCTTGGCTCATTCTTTTCTACTCAGTTTAGTGTTAAAGTTTTAGGCAAATAGGTTTAGTTTTAGTTTTAGCAAGCGTTTTACGGCACTTGCAACACGATAAGGTCATATAAGTGCCGAAGATTAGAGGTGTTACAAGAGAGTAACAAACATAAAAAGAAGGAGGAGAGAGTGCGTTTAACAGGAGCTGCGTTATAGGGAAGTTTGTTACACTGAAAATTTGGATGGCAAAATTGGTTTCGTACAAAGAGAAATTAATCTTTAGTTAATTGATGGATCAAGCAACGTTTAAAGGGAAAGGAGGATTCAAGTTTAGAATCAGGTTTTGTAGTGCTGCTAATTGTGATTTAAGGAAAATAGCAGAGATCAAGTATTTCTTGTTCGCTATTTTTGTGGAGCAGAGTAGGGTTCAAGAAATGTAACTCTCTATACTGCACTGGCCTAGCAACTTCAGACCTGAGATTCAAGCCCACCTTGACGTAAGAGCATCTCCTAGTAACGCAAAAGTAATAATCAATTGATTTTTTTTTCTTTATGCTCCTCTTTACACAAACGCACCTATACTAGCATAAGTAGTTTTGACTGTAGAAAACTTATCAAGTGCATTAAGTCAGACTTAAATACAACAAAGATTTATGTTGTTTTTTGTTGTTGTTATTGTTGTTGTTGTTGTTGTGTGGGTTTGTTTGGGTTTGTTTGTTGTTGTTGTTGTTTGTTTTTTGTTTGTTTGTTTTTGTTGTTGTTTTTGTGCAGTTAGTTGGGTTTTTTGGGACGGGTTGTTTTGTGTTGGGGTTTTTTTTTTGGGGGGGGGGGTAAATGAGGCAAGGCCACTTTTTTGGAGGTCTGGTAACTCGAATCAGAGCACAAATATGTCCATACTCCAGAATGCACAAGATATAGCCACAGTCAAAGGTATTCCTACGAATCAGTAACAAATAAAAAGATTTATACAAGGGCAAACGCCAGAAACATAATATTTCAACTCAGAATGTGGCCCAAAGCAAGATTTCCATCAGCTTATCAGCAATATAAATCTGTGGGAATGTTCCCATTTATTTCAATTTGCCTAGCAGTATCAAGCGAGTTTATCTTTAGTACCCTGTTCCCTTCACATTAATGAACTCTCGACGTTAATCATCGTTGTTGTTGTCGTCGACGTTATCGTCATTGGTTGTTTGTTAATTATAATACATAACAAACTTAATGTCTATATTTGTCTACTCGTGCAGCCGGTGTGAGAGTGTGCGACTTTCTAGTTTGAAAATGGAGAAGGGTAGAATGTAATTACATTTTATTCTTAAGGCAGTTATTTTAAGACAAGCAACGATATTATAATTTCGGCACTACTTGGCTCCACTCTGTTCTAGTTCCATGAGGTGCGGTGATATGGAAACTTAAAACGCTGATCATATACAGACTGGGTCTTTGTGTTTCAATACCCAAGAATAACAAGACATAGTGATGTTTAATATCTCGTAGAAATAAAAATGTAAAGCAAGCCATTGACGAGGCGGAAACTCCACCGCCAGGGCGCGGAGAAAGGCGCGTGTGTTTGGAGTTTCCTGGATGTAAACATAAAACACACGCGAGCGCTCCTCTCAGTCTGACTGGCACACGCAACTGAAAAAAGAGCCCGAATGTCTGTGAGCCTAATTAGAATTACTTCCTACTTCCTAGCTTCGATGGATAATATTACGAGCCAGGTAACTGGAATTTATACTTATCGCAGGGTAGATTTTTGTTTAAGGTGTGAGAAAATGAGTAAACCTCTCAGATTTATGTGATTTCTGTCGACTAGACTATTTTGATCGGCATTTAAAATCAGTGCGTGAACATTTCACTGCAATGTATAACTTACAGCTTTTTCCGGTGTTCATACTCAAAGTTTTGGTTTACTATGTCGTCTGTGTGTGATTCTGAGGTGATAAACGAGGTGCACAATAAGCTATCAGTGAATGAATCACGTTAAAAACGCAACGGGCTAAAATGTTTTAACAGAAACGTAATAATTTAAAATATTAGAGTTTTAACGATTAGTTGTGTGTAACCTTAGACAGCGCCAGGTTCAAGCAATATTCCCTCACGGCTAGCCAGATAAGTGTGGTTGGCCCACGCGCAGTGTGTGAGTCGGAGTACTGACTGTATGGTTGTTGCTTGTTGTAAGTGGGAAGGGGTTCCAACGAGATGGTTATCTGGGCGTGCACCTCACAGAGTTTGGAATGACCGGTCTGTTCTAGTTGTGATCGTGACTGAACACGGACAACATCTTAATATGATGATGTTACACGATATTATGTTTCTATATAATACCAGAAACAGGTAGGTGAATTATTATTATTATTATTATTATTG